TCTGCAAGCTCTCTCGCACATCATTCAGTGGCAGTTGTATCTCACATACACATTAGATCTCTGTCTAAATGCTTTTAAGCATTTCCTGTGCAGCTGAAAAGGTTTCCTGCGTGTTCCAAGGTGACTGTGATTCCTAGGGACAGCCTTGTCGTCTGCCTGTCATGTTCCCTTTGCAGCTCTGTTGGACCAGCCACGTTTGCACTGCTCAGTTCACTGGGGGGGGGGTAATGCTGATTGCTATAGAAGCAATACAATATTTAAACTTACAATCTTTAAATTCCAGCCCCTCCCTGGATCCAGGTTTCCTGCAACTGCTTGTGCTGTGGAGTGGAGCTTCCCAAACCTGTGCTCGCTTCAGCTAAGAGCTACTGGTTGTCATGGGGGAGAGGGGAGAAGCTGGGATGTATCTCACAGCAGGGAAACTGATGTTGTAATTCACTTCCATACCCCTCTGCTTTGTGCCTGTAAAATGTTTTGGAGATAACAAAGTTCTGTCCAGAGCCTCTAGAGTCAAACCCAGATCCTGCCTCGGCTGAAGAGGAAATGGAAAGTAAACATTTGAAAGAGGCAAGGGGAGATGTTGGCTTGCTCCTGTCCCCGGGCTCTCCAGTCCAAGACTAAGGTCCAGAAGCATTTTAGCCAGCCCTATGCAATCGTCTGCTGGCTTCCTGCCCCACAACACTCCCAGGGCAGACAGCAAGGCTGGAAAAGCGGGTTTTGGAAACGGAAGGAATTACACCACCATCTATGGTCTTTGACAGATGTAAGGGCTGATAGCTGAAGTGGGCAGGATTACAGCCTGGGCACAGAGAGGAAGGAAGGGAAGGAAGGAGAGAAGGAAAGGATGGATGGATGGATGGATGGACGGACGGATATCTTGTGGGTTACCAAGGTGCTGTGGGGAGGTGCCTCTGTGCTCCTCCTGCAGAAAAGACATAAGCCCCCTCAGTTTCCATCCTTATTGTCCACAGTGCCCCCATTAAAACACTGAGCCAGCACCCCACAGGCCTGCTTCCCCATGGCAGCAAAGCTGAGGGCACCTCAACCCTGCAAAGAGATGGTGATAGGTATAGAAGTCCCAGTGTGGGAAAAGATCTCACCCCTCACTAGGTGAGGTGAATGCAGCAGTTTGGCACAGATATCCCACAGGGTTAGGTATTTCTCTTTACACACAACATAAATCTGTTGGTTTCCGTAAACAAACCTCAAATTTGGCTCAGGTTTTTTGTTGGGTTCGGGGTTTTTCTTTCCTGTTTTGGTCTAATGAAGCCCATCAAACAGGGGGAGCATTGCCCCCCAGGCTGCTGCTGCAGTGGGTGCTCTGCCAAGCAGCAAGGCTGCCCGTTGTACCCAGACCAGCTGTGTGATGCTGCAGCCCTGGGCTCCTTCTGCAGACAGGTACCCGGTAATTCAAAGGCACAAGAGACTTCCAAACCCTTCCCAGCAGAGCCCATGACTCCCAGCACAAGTCCCTCTCTATTGCAGGCAGCTGGGTCCCACAGCCAGCAGAGGTGAGCAAGGCACATCCCAGGCTCCTGCTGAACGGAGCAGCCCTGCCCCACACCAGCAGTGATTTCCTGCAAGGGAAGGAGATGTGGGATGGGAGCAGGGAGCTGCCGGAGCAGGGATTGCTGCCAGACCACCTCAATCCCCACGCTTCGCATTCCCTGCGCTCCTGCCAGGACCGCTCCAAGGCAGCATCCAGAAGTCCTGGTTTTCACTGGGAACTGTGAGCGGTTTCCCTGTGCACGGCGCCTCGGGATGTGTGGTGCGGGGCAGCCAAGCTGGGGCAGGCGGCTGCAGGGTGGCAAGATGATACTGCTGCCCAAAGCCTGGCCTGAGGAGCGGGGCAAGCTGCTGCGATGGTGCCAGCACAGGCTCGGGCTGTCTGGGTTCTCAGGGAGAACGCGCTGTACCAAACACTTCTGGCTGCGTGTCTTACACAAACAAAGCCTTCAGCTCACCACCCAGCACTAGCTCAAGCTAATGAATGCCAGGGACTTTCTCTGCTCCATGCACTGAAGCTGTGTGCTCCAGTCAGCTCAGGGACATACGTGGGATGCTCACTTTGGACTGAGATTCTTCCCACTGTCCTCTTAAGTTGAGAGTGATCAGGTACAGATGGAAAAGGAAGCAGCAAATGGGATTTGCTGTACAAGTATGAAGGGAGACTGACTGATCCTTGCAGGAAACAATTCCATCTCCCAACCATGGAGCTGCTGCGAGGGCTGGAGCAGCTCTGCTCTGGAGCCAGGCTGAGAGAGCTGGGCTGGGGCAGCCTGGAGAAGAGAAGGCTCCTGAAGGGGAGACCTGAGAGCAGCTCCAGCGCCTAAAGGGGCTGCAGGAAACCTGGAGAGGGGCTTGGGACAAGGGATGTAGGGACAGGGCAAGGGGAATGGCTTGAACCTGCCCGAGGGGAGACTGAGCTGAGCTCTTAGGCAGAAGCTCTTCCCTGTGAGGGTGCTGAGGCGCTGGCACAGGGTGCCCAGAGAAGCTGTGGCTGCCCCATCCCTGGCAGTGCTCAAGGCCAGGTTGGACACAGGGGCTTGGAGCACCCTTTTCCATTAAAAATTCCTGAAAACTCCCATGAGAAGCTCTGGCAGGGCAGGAGAAATTCCCCGAGCTCAACGTTATGCAAACTGCTCCAAAAATAAAGCAAGCCCCTTGATGTGACACCTCCCCCATCTCAGGTTCCTCTCCAGGCAGGCTTTTGGATGTCTGTTTGACAGCACTGCTCACATCCATGACCCAAGAGAGGCACAAGGCAGGGCTGGCAAACACAAATGTCACACTGCAGCCCCAGGGCCGCCTGGTTTGTCCCTCCTGCAGAATGTGACCCGGGGGAGGCTGCTTTTGAACCTGCGCTTGGAAAGAAGGAATTTGCCTCCCACTGAATGTGCTTTTTCTGTGTGCCTGTTTCCAGGAGGGCAACAGGAGTGCAGCGGCTGCTGCAGCCCTGCCCATGGTCACTCCTCCCTGCCTCCGCTGCAGCTGCAGCACTGGGAGATGCTGCTGCGCTGCTCACTCCTTGGGAAAGCTTCAACCTCATTTTCATAGAACCATCAAATCCCAGCCTGGTTTGTGTTGGAAGGGACCTTAAAGCTCCCCCAGCTCCAACCCCTGCCACAGGCAGGGACCCCTTCCACTGGAGCAGCTTGCTCCAAGCCCCTGTGTCCAACCTGGCCTTGAGCACTGCCAGGGATGGGGCAGCCACAGCTTCTCTGGGCACCCTGTGCCAGCGCCTCAGCACCCTCACAGGGAAGAGCTTCTGCCTAAGAGCTCAGCTCAGTCTCCCCTCGGGCAGGTTCAAGCCATTCCCCTTGCCCTGTCCCTACATCCCTTGTCCCAAGCCCCTCTCCAGGTTTCCTGCAGCCCCTTTAGGCACTGGAAGATGTTCTCTATCTCTACCTTCCCCCAGGTGCAAACGCAGCTGGAGCTGTGTTTCAGATTCCTGCAGTATTTCCCTCTCTCTGCACACCAGCAGAGTACATGATCCTTGTTAAAAACTGTCCTTTTTGAGCAGGTCCAAACTGATGAGCAGAAAACACGGTCCCTGCTCACGCTGCGGGTGGGTGCAGCTGAAGCCCAGGTACCACCGGGGCAGATGGAGCAGCTCAGCTTTCGTTTTCGAGACTACAAAGGTAGCAGGTAATCACAGGATCCTAGAACAGTGAGGGCTGGAAAGGACCTTGAGGTCGTTTAGTTCCAAGTCCAATGTGTTCATCACTGACCTGCCCTGCAGCAAAGCCTCCACAGCCCCTCATTAGTTTGCACCCCAGGTGGTTTTCTTGCTGGGATGGTTTGTTCTGCTGGAGCAGGAGTGCGTTGCTGTGCTCATCGCTAAGCAATTACCAGTTTGTCCTTGCAGACCCATCCAACGCCCCAGACACTCTTGGCTCCTGGGAACATTTTCAACATAAGCATTCCAAGGGAGAGGCATTAATGGCTCCTCTCCCACTTTCTGGGACAAGCTACATACCCCGTTACAGAATACCCCAGACCAGGGCAGGGATCGGGGGGTATTCGTGGTCAGGCCCCATTTTGCCAAGTTCTGCACAAACTTTTCATCCCACATCACTCTGAGACTGGCACTTTTCTTGCATCATCCCATTTTCACAGGCAACAGTGAAGGAACTTAGCCCCACCGTCACAGTGATGGATGGCTCCTGCACCGGGTTCCCTTGGTTTCCAGGCACCAGCCCGTGTTGGCACTCCCAGGGAGGCCACAACTCCTGGTTTCCCAACCCACAGGTGTAATTTCTGACCCGTGGACCCAAACCTGCTCCTGCAAGCTGCAAGGAATGCAGACAGTCCCTTGAAGCTGAAGATGTTTCAGTCACCCAGCCTGAGGACAGCCCGCTGGCCATGGAGCACGGGGCTCTTTCAGACTGAGCCTATCAAACGTGAAAGGATCTCCAGCAAAAAGAAAACTTCAAATACTCATCAAAAGTGACCTCAAACCAGAACCAGGATTTGCCCAATACTTCCCCCCCCCCCCCTTTTTCTTTTACTTACAAACGAGTGAACTCCCACACTGAGCTGTGGGTAAGCCTTGTGAGTCACACCGTGGCTTTGCTTCTGGGTGTCAAGACAGAGTGAGCCAGGGTTTCTGCACACAGTACCCTGGGATTACAGTGGCAATCGATGTTAGAAATGCAAGAAGTGCAGACAATCAGCAAGAACCTTCCCCAGAGGCTGCTGTGGGGCTCGGCGTGCCCACGTGGCGGTGGGACACCGCACATCAGGGCATCACTGCCAGAAGTGACCCCACTGGATCAAAGCAGAAACCCTCTGGCCTGAGAACCTGTCACCTGCTAGGAGAAGGGTATAAAGGCATGCAAGTGAATACGTTCCTGCCTCCTGCAGTTTGAACACCCATGTCCTCATGATCCCAGGCCTGAGCAAGGAGGAGGTACCGTTGATGCATTTTACATATGACATCCCTAGCCATGTATATAAGAAAATTATATATGTATATATCTAAAACAGAGGTCACAATATTTTCTTACAGATAGCTTCAGAGGTATCCGCACTGCTTTATTTACACATTCTCTAGTGAGAATCTCTTTTAGAAAACCAGCTTAGGGTATAATACTCAGTACCTACACAATTATGGCTTCTGTGCAATGGTCTTTTGGTGTGTTTTGTCATCTGGTGTTGCACTGAACTCTTTCCTGATCTCAGCCATGCACAAGCTGGCATTAAAAACAACATTTATGTGTCAGGATCTTCCCTCTGTGGAGTGCTCCTTGTGGAAAGGAAGGAAGAATAAATCTCCACATGTGAAAAAGGGATTCTTCCTCAAACTGCTGGTGAATGAATGGCCACAAGAGGACTAGGACAGAGGAGCATCACCGACATCGCCCACATCATGCCCCGGTGCCTACAGCAGTGACCTGGGCTCCCCTTCCCTGCCCACAGGGGTCTCAGCATCTCTGAAGCAGCTCCCTTTCCTCAGGGAAGAGCTCTCCCGGTGGCTGTTGAACTGATAGACCCTCCGCTTGAACAAGCGGTGCAGCTTCTCCTGGAACTGGTTCCCGATGAAGCAGTACAGCAGCGGGTTGATGCAGCTGTTGGCAAAGGCCATGCAGATGCCGAATGGCAGCGCTGTGTCAATGAGCCCTGTCACCGCACAGCTGCTGATGATGCTCATGTGAGCCAAGGCATCCAGAAACGTCAAAATGTGGAACGGGAGCCAGGAAATCAAGAAGGCCACGACGACAGCAGCCACCAGCTTGAGGACTTTGTCCCTCTTCTGCTTATTCCTCCCAAACTCCCGTGCTCTGAGCAGGGGCTTCCTGATCCGCACGTAGCACGTGGTGATCACCATCAAGGGGATGAAGAAGCCCAGTGCGTTCTTCAGGAAGGCTGTTGCCACAGCCCATTGTGCATAGCTCTCCTGAGGAAAGGCCATGATGCAAGCATTGACCCCCAAGCTTTCGATGGACTGGGTGTCCCGGAAATAAAAGGTTGGGAGGGAGGACAAACAGGCGAGGCCCCACACAACCAGTGCTGTGAAATAAGCCTTCTGCAGAGTTCTCCTTTGAGAGTGCATAGGATGGACAATAGCGTGGTACCGGTCCACGCTCATGCAGGTGATGAAAAATATACTTGCAAACATGTTCAAGCACAGGACAGAGCTGGAGACCTTGCACATGAGAGACCCAAAGAGCCAGTTGTAGCCCTGCGCGTAGTAGGTAGCCCAGAAGGGAAGGGTGGCAAGGCACAGCAGGTCCGCCACGGCCAGGTTGAGGATGTAGATGTTGGCGACTGTTCTGGGGCCGCTGTGCCGACAAAGCACCACGACCACCACGCCATTGCCAACCAACCCCAGCGCCAAGACCACGGAGAAGAGTGCTGGAATGAGGGAAAACTGGTAACGGGAAGAGGTGAGTGGGCAGGGAGCCGGGGAGCGCGACGCGGCCGATGCGTTTGTCAGGGCTGTGTAGAGCACTTGGAGGCTTCCTCTGGGGGTGACGACCGGGGAGTAGTTGCTCTGCATGGTGGAGAGGGATGATCTGCAGGCGGCTCATGTGCCAGCAGCACTGCTCTGTCCCGTCGCTCACCTGCAGATCAGGAAGCACGTGTTAGACTTAGCGCTGGGGTCATGGTCACAACAAACCAAAGCCCATTGGAAATGCTGTCGGTGATCCGAGTGCTGCCATCCCAGGCAGCCCTGCTGGAGCCCTCTCGCCCGCCCCACTGCCGGCACACAGTTACCCTAGGGAGGTCAGAGCACTCTGTAATTAGCCTGGCAGAGAAGCGAGCAGCTGGGGTTTATCTGTGATTACAGATGGGGCTTTCTGCCACCAGCAGAGCAGAAGGGTTCTTGGCTCAGGAGCGGGAGAGACTCCGGCGACCAAAGGCAGCACTTGGGATCCTTTTCTCAGCTTTCTGACACCATTTCCAGCGCTCTGCACAGTTAAAATGATGTGGAAAGGCAGCACTCGCCAGTGGGGATCGGGTACTTCACACCTGAGGGTCTCCCAGGAGCTCACAGCCTTTAACAAGGCGATAGGAAGGGAAGCTTTGACCTTGCTTTAATTCACAGCGCTGACTACACAGGCACTGAAGGGTCTTTGCTAAGCACCATTCACTGTCACAGTCCTTCTCCAAGCAAATCTGCATCTCCTGCCCTTGTGTCGGCTTTTAATCAGAGTAAAAGAAACATTTCCAATGTAGATACAAGTCAAGTACTCAGTCCTCACAGATACTGGATTGAACAGGAGTATTTGCTATTCATTTAGAAAGGTCAGGACTGGTTTCAGGAGGTGGAAATGTAGCTAAAAACCAGCTAAATAGGAGAGTGTGCCTGTGATCCGGTTCAAGGGCTCATGTCTGCGCTCCAAGCAGGGCACATTTCAAACTTCATAGGCAATAAAGCAGATGTCGGAGCCAGATATTCTAGTTTACATAATAGAGAAAAATGCTTTTAAATCAAGTTCTTATGGAACCAGGCATTTAAAAGTTCTGAACAGGAATTCTGACCAAGACAACAGAGCTGGGCAATGATTTCTCAATGAACAAAAGGCAACTGATCGTTTCCAACCCATTTTTCTGTGTTAACAGTGTAATGTGCCCTTATGAGCTTATCATTTGCTTGATGCAAAATACACCATGTGCTACTTTGAATATACTGGCAAAAGATTAATTCTATTGTCTCAACAATGACAGTTCAACAGGAGGATATTAATGCACATCTGTGCAGAGTGCCGGTATTCCAATCCCCAGAACTGGATCACAAACCCATGTTCTGTTAGCAAACAGGTCTTAAACAGAGGAAAGCTTTTGGTTTGGGAACAACAAAGATTCAGGAGAGGGTCTGGAGCCCCGTTTCGCTCTCGCTTTAACATACGGAAGCTCAGAAGTCATCACAAAGCATTACATATGTCACTTATTCCTACTAGAAGGACCACACCACAGTTAATTTTAGCTACCTTCCCGAGAACAAGGTTTCGTTGACAAACACGCCCCCCCCTCCGCCCATCAACAACTGGTGGCTTAGAATCTGCTTCAAAACTGGTCACTGCTGCTACTCTTTAGGACACAATGAAGCATTTTACCACAAATCAAATGAAATCAATGGGGATTGTGTTCTAAGGGCGATAGAAAACGTACCTCTCAGAGCTCGCGTTCGGCTGGGTGCTGCTCTAGAGTTACGTGCTCCTTTCCTCTGCTGTCACCACCAGCAATCTGCACGCTCATCTCTTCCATTTTCCCACTGGGAGACTTTAACCTACATAACTCGAGAACTGCGATGTGAACGCCTGCCAGCTTCTTTTCCTTTTGGAAGCAGAGCAGTGGGAGACCCCCCCTTTCCAAGGCCACGTGAGCACATGCAGTAAATCAGAAGAGAGGAGCAAGGCAACCTAAAAAAAGAGAGCAGCAGCAAGCAAGGAAAAGGCAAATCCCACCAATAGCTCTGCAGTTTCCTCCTGCAGCTCTGGTGGATCGAGCCCCTCCTGCCCCTCAGATGTACTTGGTGCACACGTGCAAGGATTCATGGAGAGAACTCCCATGTGCTCTATGGAGTCCCAGCACTTGCCAACACGATAAAGAGTGGAATAGGCTGTTAGTGCTGGCAGGGCTGACCGTCATGTGCACACACTGAGGCAGACAGCAGAGGAACCACACAGCATCCACACCAGCATTGCCTGGGGAAGGGGGCTGATCCAGTTCCCCCCCTGTTAACAGCACAGGAAGCCACTGCCTGAGTCCTTGCAGACACACGCTGCTTGAGCCAAGGAGAGCAGTGGGATGGAGCCACGTGGCAGAGAGCAGGCTTGGCGCTGGGCCTGCACTGGGGTACCACGCGGCCAGAGGAAGCAGGGAAGGCTGTGGGTTCACATCGGTTTCACTGAGCTTTTACATCTGCTTCTCCCCCTGGTCCACACTGCGCTTGGCCCCACCTCCCCTCCCTGGAGGAGCAGCAGAGAGGCTCCTGCAGGATGAGCACTGTGAGTGACAGTCCATCAGTGTTAAACATTTTACCCTGATCCCCTGAGTGTGACCTCTGCAGCGGCAGCCTGTGCACTGGGGACATGTGTGATGTGCTTCCCAGGCAAAGCTGCACACAGAACCACGGCCTGGGTTGTGTTGGGAGGGACCTCAAAGCTCCTCCAGCTCCAACCCCTGCCACGGGCAGGGACACCTTCCACTGGAGCATCTTGCTCCAAGCCCCATCCAAATCCTCAGAGCCACATGCATCCAGATTCAGACTGCATTCACAGCTTGATTCATTCCTTGTGGAGAAAGCAAGATGGGGAAAGGAATCTCTCACTCACGCGCTTCCCGGGATGCATCACGCAGCACAGGTCAATGTGGCTCTGGCCCCTCTGGTGCTGCTTTATAGCAGGATGCCCTGAATCCCTGATGTCTGGAGGCAGGAGGTGGGGATCCCACGCCCTGCAGGGAGCGGTGATGTCCATCCCGCTGGTGCCACATTTCCATCATGCCAACCACAAGCCTTTTGCACGCACTCACCAAAAGCATCCCTCCTGCAGCTGACTTCCCAAGCACTCCATAAACTGTTACAGGAGTTCCTCATTCCCATTGTAGTGGAACACAAGGGCCACCCAGCCTGGATCCATCAGGTGTGGTTTCAGAGAGCTCTGGTCCCATTCAGTGGACCTTCCATGCTGAAGAAGTCAGTTTTTGAAGGCGTTTATGTCTACATTAGCTTAGAGTGGGGCAGAGGCAGCCTGGGTGGAAGAGAGATGCCCTTTCCACCTCCAGCAGGCAGGAAACCTTTCCAAAGCATTTCCTCAGCGAGATGCTTGTGTCAAGGCACTAGTGCTGCCAAGCCTGGGGTTATCCTCCATGACATTGCTTATCCAAATCATTGGCTGCAATCAGTTTACAAGTTACTAAAAGTAGCAAAGAAAACAAGCACGGCAGCAGCTTTGCAAACACGCTGCACCCACTGCTATTAAAGGCAGCGGGCACCACTGAGGAGGGATCACGGCAGCATCCCGGCCCTGCTGAAGGCAGCAGGACTTGGCCAGAGCTCCCTTCCCCAGCACAGCTCCGAGCCACAGCCCCCAGGACACACAAACCTCGTGGCTTGCCCACAGTGGGCACAGAGCCTAAATCCTGCTCGTGCTGCTGTGGGCAAAGGAGAGAGCTGCTTGGCCAGGTCACACCAGGAGCCACGCTCAGCTCATTAGAAGCAGTTCATCACCACAGGTCATCTGCTGCTGCTCATTTCTCCCAGAGCAGTTGCTGTGAGAAGCAGCAGAAGTCTGGTACCTAAAGTTCAGCAGAGGTTTAATACCTAAAGGGGCTGCAAGAAACCTGGAGAGGGGCTTGGGACAAGGGATGTAGTGACAGGGCAAGGGGAATGGCTTGAACCTGCCCGAGGGGAGACTGAGCTGAGCTCTTAGGCAGAAGCTCTTCCCTGTGAGGGTGCTGAGGCGCTGGCACAGGGTGCCCAGAGAAGCTGTGGCTGCCCCATCCCTGGCAGTGCTCAAGGCCAGGTTGGACACAGGGGCTTGGAGCAAGCTGCTCCAGTGGAAGGGGTCCCTGCCCGTGGCAGGGGTTGGAGCTGGGGGAGCTTTGAGGTCCCTTCCAACACAAACCAGTCTGGGATTGTATGAAGTCAAGACACTGATGCCCACAGCTGGTGGGAAAGAGCTCCCTCCTGTGTAACTTCTGCTTTATTTTTATTACTACATCTATATATTAATATATCTATAGTATCTTGCATTTATATTGATATATATTAATATATCTAATATATCTGGCATTTAAAGCATGTGGGAGCTATACTTCACATTGACTTTTAAGTAAAAGCAAATTGTAAAAAAAAAAAAAGCAATAAAATGATCTATTTTTCAGAAGAGCGAGGGTTCTGCAGCCAGTTCTATAGAGCTATGAACTACCCAGGGGTCTCTGTGCAGAGATGCTTTAAACACCTTCCTTCCTTTGCTCTTTTGAACTATACTTGCTGCAAGCATCAGTTTTAAATGTGTTTTTGTCAGGAGCTTCTCTTACGTAATACAACAGCTGAGATACACACAGAAGGGAGTTCACCAGCTGGATACATCTTTGAGGAGGTCGGAATATTCCTGACACTTGGGCATTCCAACTTATTTAACCCTTCTTTTAATCAGCAGAGGCTTGGAGTGATTCTGCTCCCTCACATCTGCTCACCAGACAGCTTAAAGAAAGCAAACCTTGCTCCCTTAGCTCATCAGAGCAGCAAGACCTTCCCAAAGGAGGTGTTTGCACTGCTTGTATCAGACCTCGATTCTCGAAGAGAAAACAGCTCCTTGAATCCCACAGCATTAGGCAAGGCTCTTGACATCAGCTACAAACAATTCGTGCAGGGGGTGCGCTCTGAGTCCCAGCTGTCAGATAAATCAGGAACTGAAGAGAAGGCAGAACACAGTCATGGTCATGCAATGGGTGGGATCCATTTGAACAGGAGACCTGCGGTGGCTCAGCCTTTCCATTGAAGCTGGAAGGATGAGTACCTCAGTCAAAACACACAGCATAATCCAGAAAACTATGCTACCAAACGGAGTGAGACAACCAGCACCCTGCATGGAGCACCAGGAGCTGAGCTGGGAAAAGGCAACCCAAGACCTGAATGCTGATAAGGAGGGGACCAGAGCAGGAAGGTATTCATTAAAAAAGTAGCTAGCAAGAACAACTGTGTGATAGATTTTCTCAAGGAGCAGGTCTTTACCTTGGCTCTGCTGCATCCGATGTGGCAGTGATGCCAGCTACTTCTGACTGCAGCCATGGTGCTCAGGATAATGGAGCTGGAGAGGCACAGGACCACTGGGCATTGCAACACACATGGGATGTACCTGGGATCATCAGCTCATAGAATCTGAAACCGGTTTGGATTGGAAGGGACCTCAAAGCTCCTCCAGCTCCAACCCCTACCACGGGCAGGGACCCCTTCCACTGGAGCAGCTTGCTCCAAGCCCCTGTGTCCAACCTGGCCTTGAGCACTGCCAGGGATGGGGCAGCCACAGCTTCTCTGGGCACCCTGTGCCAGCGCCTCAGCACCCTCACAGGGAAGAGCTTCTGCCTAAGAGCTCAGCTCAGTCTCCCCTCAGGCAGGTTCAAGCCATTCCCCTTGCCCTGTCCCTACATCCCTTGTCCCAAGCCCCTCTCCAGGTTTCCTGCAGCCCCTTTAGGCACTGGAGCTGCTCTAAGGTCTCCCCTTCAGGAGCCTTCTCTTCTCCAGGCTGCCCCAGCCCAGCTCTCTCAGCCTGGCTCCAGAGCAGAGCTGCTCCAGCCCTCGCAGCATCTCCATGGCCTCCTCTGGCCTCGCTCCAACAGCTCCAGGTCCCTCTTGTGCTGCTGCCCCAGAGCTGGACCAGGGCTGCAGGGGGGTCTCCCCAGAGCACAGCAGAGGGGAGGATCCCCTCCCTGAGCTGCTGCTCACGTGCTGGGAGCAGCCCAGGATAAGAAGCAGCCACAGAGGTCGCAGCAGGGGACAGCCCCCAAAGTGATGTCCTCGAAGGAGCAGCCCCAGCTGAGCTCAGAGCACAAAACACAGCCTCTCTCCAAGCCCTTCAGCACAGCCCCAGATGTGAGCAGCTGCATGGGGGGAACTCGCACGTTTCCACCTTCCACTGGGGCTCCCAGGACAAGCCACTTGGCTGCTATCAGGGTGAGAACCGGCTTTTGGCTCCTAAGAACACTGCAGTAAAGCCTGTCTAACCGAATACATGATGTTGTTTACAGCTGGAAGTTGGTGTCCATGACACAACACGGCCATCCCGGCCAAGCTTCCAGGGAGAAGCTGCTCTTTGGGGGGTGGTTGCTGGAGAAAAATGAAGAAGAAAATGGAACTTGCTGAAAGCAGCACAGATTTAACAGCACAGGAGCCCCCCAGTCACACTTTTCTCCTTGGTGCTATGGATATGGGATCAAACCCAGGAAGGACCCTGAGGAACTGAGTTTTTAGGGACCTAAGCCCAGCTGCAGGTGCTCAGTGACAGGTCTCAGCCCTGCCAGGGACAGGCAGCACCCCCGGAAAGGGTAGCATGCCCCTGGGGTGCTCTGCATCTCACCCATGGATCATCTCCTGCCACTCATAGATGGCTTAGGACTTATCCCAAGGAGATGCTCCACCAGGACACAGCGATCCCTGGCACATCCCTACTGGCAGCAGGCATGAGGCTTGACATCCTGCAGGCATCCCAGGGTGAGAACCCCCATCACATCTGTGTGCAGAGCTGCTCTTGGTCGCCTTTGCTGAAGCCCTGGTTAGAGAACAGCACAAAACTCCCCTCCCAAAGCAGAGATCCGAGAGGATCCAGGAAACAGTGACCAACCCAGTAGCAGGAGCCTCTTCCAAGCAGATCCCGATGGGAATCTGTTCCCTGCTGCTGTGTGCAGAGGGCAGGAGGTGGGAAAAACCACTGTGAGAGCTGAGAGCTGTCCCTGCCTCTCAGTGGTGCTCCTCACAGCAGGGAGGCACTTAATCGGCTTTTATCTGTCTAAAGACTTGATCCCACTGCTGGGCAGCAGGAAGAACGAGGCGGTTCAGTTTCAGTGTGCACCAAAGCACAGCCCAACCGGCCCTGCGGTGCTCGCGGTTCACCTGCCCAAAAGGTACCTGCTCTTTATCCTGCCTCCTTCTCTGCTGTCCATCAGGTGTTAGATGCAGTGCCTGGCGGGTGGCTGGTCATGCTCTTTCCTGCTGTATTTCTACTCACCTGTGCAGCTGAGGCTGGGCTGAGGCTCAATCTCTCTGCTGCATGCCCGAGCATGTGCCAGTGTGCACCCGGAGAGGGCATCCACTGCAACAGAACGGGACTGCGAGCCCTGCCGGGAGAGATCGCCACCTCCACCACCTCCCTAAACCTCTCCAACAACCACCTGCGGGGCCTCAGCACCGGCACCTTCAGGAACCTGACCTTCCTGCACAGCCTCTGGCTGGATGGGAACAACCTGACCTTCCTGTCCCCGGGCACCTTCCATGCGCTCAGCCAGCTGCGGGAGCTGCACCTCAGCAGGAACTCGCGCCTCACCTACCTGCACGCAAACACCTTCAGGGGGCTGTTAAACCTCGTCAGCCTGGACCTGTCCCACTGCAACATCTTTGAGATCCACCCGCTGCTCTTCTCACCCCTGCCTTCCTTGGAGAGGCTGGATTTAGCCTCCAACAACATGCGGTACGTCCCGCAGGCCTTTAGGAACCTCTCCAGCCTCACCCAGCTCTCCCTGGAGGGCAACCACATAGAAGCCATTGGCAGAGATTCCCTGAAGGACCTGGAGAGCCTGTACGAGCTGAACCTCAGGAAGAACCGGATATGGATCATCCAGAACGGCGCTTTCACAAAGCTCCTCAGACTGGGAATGTTAAATTTAGGACACAACTTCATCGCTGATTTGCCTAATCAGCTTTTCGACGGCTTGATCCAGCTCAAGACCATGCACCTTGAGGCCAACAGGATCACTGCTGTCGCCTGCACCTTCAGGCATTTGCTCAACTTGAGGAACTTGTACCTGAACAACAACCAGATCTCCTCCATCTCAGACTCTGCTTTCCTGTACTTAAACAAGCTGCACTTCCTCCACCTGAGCAAGAACAACCTCAGCTCCCTCCCCAGCCGCCTGCTTGCTGAGCTGCCCAAGCTCAAGTACGTCTTCTTATCCCACAACCCCTGGAAATGCGACTGCAGGATGCTGTGGTTCTGGAGGTGGGCATCCACGCGCGGCGGAGCCATCCAAGGGCTGCATTGTGCCTTCCCGAGCCCTCACAACACCACAGCACCCCATGGCCCCCGGCCTGGGGACCTGACCCACTGCACCGGGCCCCCCGAGCTGCCGGGAGAGGACAAGTGCGGGGGCGATGGTACCAGTGCAGGCACCAGAGCCCCCCCTGTCCCCAGCGGGGTCATCCTGCTGGTGCTCACCTGCCAGGCATGGTGCTGCGGGAGGGGATGGGGCAGCTCCCTTTGAATTATAAAGACCACTTATTTCATCATAGAACCTCAGCCTGGTTTGGGTTGAAGGGAGCTTAAAGCTCCTCCAGCTCCAACCCTGCCACGGGCAGGGACCCCTTCCACTGGAGCAGCTTGCTCCAAGCCCCTGTGTCCAACCTGGCCTCGAGCACTGCCAGGGATGGGGCAGCCACAGCTTCTCTGGGCACCCTGTGCTGGTTCAAGGGAAAGGTTTTACAGAAACCTGCCTGAAACACAGGTTGGGAACAACCGCACTGCCTGTGCCCAGAGCAATAACAAGATCTCCTCAAGCAAAGCCCTTACAGAGCAATGGACCTGGGGTAACACAAAAAGCCGAACTGAAGCACAGCTGAACCCAGGCTGCTGGGCCAGGGCAGTGTAAAGAAAGAGAGAAGTGTATATTTAAAAGGTTTTATTTCAACTAATGCTTTGCCACCATATTACATCACTTTGAATAGCTTGGAATAGCAATATGATCTCAAAATATAGCAAAACAGCTTGCCAAAGCAAGATAATATTAAAACCTACGGATACAGCATCTTCCTTCTTTGGCGACAACACTTCCTTTTATCTGTAAAAATAGTTTTGTGTTCCAGCACAGTGCTGTTCACTTTATTGAACCCTGCTGTTTCTAATATTTGCCTCTTCCCCTGCACAAAACCTCCCCCCCACGGAGTATGGGTTTATATCCAACAGCGTTTTAAATAAAAAACCTTAGAGTTTTCATGCAGATCTTTTGTAAAACTTATTTTCTAGGAGCACAGAACTGAACCAAGATGCAACAAAAATGCATTCACTTCCGTTTGCGGGTGTAACCGTGCCATCAGCAGCGTGATGCCATACGCGCTAGGTCCAAGGATGGTGGTGTTCTCAGAGATAACAGAACTTTAAACCAAAACCAAACCAAAGTAACAAAAAGGCCCCTTTTTTATAAGCAGCAAGAGGAAAAAAAACCTGCCATGCTTGATTTGTAAATTAATCAATATAGTTAGATGTATAAAAAAGCACCATGTACAGAGAATACCAGAGGAAGATCCACCTTCCCAATTACATGTCTCCCTTAGCATTGCGAGCTGGCCTGCAGGTCCCAACTTGTACTGTACTGATTTGCAAAGGAAATGGTCAAACCTAGAATATGCTTGGGTTATGTGGCAGAAATTAAACTGGACTGCAGATAGGGATTAGAGGTGTTTCCATTGCTACTCAAACCAACCACCTTATAGCCCTCAGGGGTAAAACACACACCAAGTAGCTGAGTAATAATGAAGTGAAGACAGCTCCAGAGCAGTATTGCAAGACACAGGGCTGTTATGAATGCATTTCTGTGAGCTCTTGAGAAGTTAACACTTTCCTTTGGGAAAAGAGCACGGCTGTTGGTTAAAACTCCTCTCCCTGAGAATGTTGATAAGAGTTTGTCTTGCAAAGCAAAACCAAGTCCTTTGAACTTCGACAGTTCCTAAGCCAACAGCATGTCCACGTGGCCGCAGCTGATCTGCTACTCATGCACCCAGGGTGGCAGGTTGGGTTTGTGTTGCGGTTTGGGTTTAGTTTTCTTTACATAGCTCAGCCCTTTTATACTCGCTTCATGCCCCTGCCCATCAAGCAGGCAAACACCGTCATGACCATCTTCGGTTTCACCTCCACAAGGTCTTCGGGAAGAGCATAAACTCTGGCACCGATCCTTCTCGCCATGGACACCGCGTACCTGTTCACCGTAGAAAGAGGAGTGGGTCAGTGCGGTCACCAACAAACGACACGTCAGCTCCTGCCTTACCCAACAACATTTCACCTCTTGTCCTCTTGGTTCACATTCACCATGTGCAACAGTCCCAAAACCTCTTTGACTTATAAAAGCACACAGCTCAACTCTGTCCGAGTTACAGATTTTGCCGGGTCTCCTACAGGAAGGTGTCTTTAACGCACAAACCGACCCTTGAACATCGAGTCCTCTTCACAAACAGGGAAAACCATGTAATTAATACGTGTTAGGGCTAACAGGGAGCACACCGCACTGAGGGCTCCCCAGCAAACAGTCGCCTTTCCCCTTCTGCCCGCTCTCTAACAATCACCAGGCGAGCCTGTTCTCTGCACGAAACTTTGGTGCCGCTCAGCCCCTGCAGGACATGCGTTCCAAAGGCAGGTTTTAATAGGCCCGATTTACACCTGACAGCCCCTGATGATTCCACAAGACAAGGGACATCAGAGGGCTCCATTTCACACCCCTGGGCCAGGGCTGAGCCCTTCATCCTGAGCAACCATGGGAGGAGCAGATCATTGCTGAGGGCTGCTTGGGATGCTCTGTTTTCGCAAGCAGAGTCCAGCCAACTGCTCCCTCCAGCGTTCCCGGCAAGGACAGCAACTGCATTTCAACGGGCTGCCTGTTTATAAGGGTGTTAAAGGAGCTTAAAACCACAGTAGTAAGCTCAAGGCTGAGGCACATACAAGGTGCAGTGCATCAGTGCAAACCAGCTTTGGAAATGGGAAACTTACTTAGCATTGTTTTGTTTGTCATCTTCTGATAGATGACCGGTCTTTACAAGGTCATAGTTGATACAACCAGGCTGTATAGCGTCAATTAAATCCACAACTGCCAAGCTCGTGCTGATGGTCTTGTCCTGGAGAAAACAAGGACAAGTAGAGATGAATGTAACCCTTCAAGCATGCTTCTCACCTCGATTCAGCTGCTCTGCTACATGCAATCAAACAAGCTTCAAAGAAGCCCTTCCAAAGCAGCAGTGCTAGGGATTATTCCCAGCTGGACCACACAGGGAAAACCAAACTGCTGCCTCTCCTTTGGAATTAGTACATCATTGCTCCAGTTTGCTGCGAGTGCTCTGAGAACACGAGGCTGTACCTGATGTGCAGCGGCTGACCAGATCCCAAGGGACAATCCTCACCCTCCAACACTCACCAGTTCCAGCCCTGTTCTTGCCACCATCCCATCCCAGAGCCTTCCTCCGTCCCCTCCTCTGTCACCCCATCAGCTGCCTTGCCCCACACTGTGGGCAGTCCTAGTGTCTCCTCTGTGTTAGCTTGAAGCTACTTTGCTCCCAGCACACAGATTTCCTGCCTTCCTAAGACACCCCTGACTGCTCCTGCAGCCAAGGGAATACTTTTGGGGGACCCCTCTCCTTTTGGATGCAAGAGGAGAACCTGCACCTTGAAGTTCTGGATGGAGGTGGACTTGCCAGCGTCTTTCAGGGTCTGGTTCACCCAGCTGACTATAATGTCATCGTTGGCTTTCTGACCATCACCCAGCTCCTCGAGGACATTCAGCGTGTACCTGAGAACCAGCAGAGACAAGAAGATGAGGCAAGAGCCTGGCAAAGCCCTGCTGAGTGCATGGCTAGGATGCAGTGTGAGCTCACAGCAGCATGGGAAGCCTTCACATAGTCTCAGCTCTGCTTCTTTTAACTCCTTTAGCAAAAAAGGACTTAACTGTCTTATCTGAAGTGTGCTTTCTGCTAAAGCATTTCATCTTCCCAGCCTTTCAAGTCCTTACAGATGAGCTCACAAAACTGCCTGCGCTCAGGACACTTGTTAAACCATTTCACCATTGACCATCTGCTCCACTGGGGCAGCACATTACCTAAAAGGTGTGCATCAGCTTAGGAGTACTCTGACCTCTAATGCCAAATGAGGAGCTACCGTGTTCATACAGGTATGTATTTGCATCACCTTCAGAACGAGGTAAGAAAAAGGATGGTCAACTTCATCTGTTAAGTTTCTCCTTCCCCCCCATTCTGATGCAGAAAGGTGCTCTCATGGCAAAATACCCTGCCCAAACTCTGTGCTGCATTCACAGAGTGCTTGGGACAGGCCCTACCTTCTCATCAACTGCCACACTAAGGCCAGTGTCAGCGTTGGGTTTCCATCATTCAGATCCTGCCCTCCGATGCCAACCAGGGAGAACTTTGCCGGGTGCTTTCCCAAGTCCACAGCATAGTTACAGTTTTCCAGCTGCAAAGAGTTCAAACAGAAACCTCCCTCACAAAACACGCTCACTTGACTTGAAGCCCCACACAGGAAGTTTTAGTGTCTGTGTCTTCTTTCCGTCCTTTGAAATTCTTACCTTCTTCATATTTGCTCCAAGCTTGGGGTACGGAGGCTTGTTAACCTTATTCCAGTCAACAGGAACTTTGATCTTCTCATACAGCTGTAGGATTACCAGTGCATCTTGGAGATCGCTACAGGGGAAAGCACTGATTAAGCCCAATGTTTCTAGATCTAAATGCTCCCCAACGTGGTCACATCAGGAATAACTACTGTTCTTTACAGGTTGCGGCTGTTTCAACAACTCTAACAAGAAAAGGGGTTCAAAACAGTCTGTAGTTTTCAGGGTAGGAGCAATGCTCTGTGCTTAATGCCAGCAGCAAAGCAGGTTTCAGCATGGGCATTAGCAATGGGTCCCCGGCAGACAAAACCCAAAGGAAGCCACCTCTCTTCACTGACTACAGGGACCCAGAGGATCTTGCCTCCTGATGTCTTGGTTAAGCCCTAAAGTTAGGTGGCAGGGAATTCAGTTCCAATTGCTCTACTGCAGGTCACATTCCTGGCCCAGTTGCTTGAGCAGATCTAAATGTATTGGGATTTCAGGGTACCAGTTTACACAAGATAAGGAAACCGTCTTCAGCCCTGTCTCTGTGGACTGCAGGGAGGGTACAGTGAGCATCTCCCACTCCATACAATCACCCTTTCTTAAACTCTTTCCTTGCCCTCTGGTGACCAGGACACTGGTGTGGGCACATCTCTAGTCTGATCTCATTGGGCCTCTCCCAAGAGCTTACCCATAGAGGTGATTCACGTGGGGGCTCACACCAAGGGAGTTCATCCAGTTGCGGAAGGTCCGTTCCTCACGCGTCTCTCCTAAATGAGAGGAAACAGGTTCATTCAGGCTCTGCAAGCTCAAAGCTGGGCAGGGGTTCCCCCTTGCAAGGCAGGGCAGCTCATCAGCTTGGGTTTGAGCAGAAAAAGGGAATTTTTTTCTACGATAACTTTTCTGAAGGAAGCGGCTTCCCTGGGATCTGGTTTTGGACACCAGTCTGACTTCGCCAGGCCTCAGCACTGCCTTTTGCTCCTTCCGCAAGAGAAAGCAGCAGGAAGCTCTTTCCCATAGGTGCAGGTGCTGGCTCACTGCTGTCTGGGAGCCCAGCAGCCAAAGCCCTCACCCAGTCCTGCCAACACCCAGTGCTCCCATGAACACCTCGCTGCATTACTGAGGGGCTCAACTCAACTCCCAGCCCTGGCATGGGCACTGGCAGGCTGCTCCTGCAGGCTCAGGCTCCACAGGCTGTAAAATGCCCTCCTGATCTACCACAGATGAGTGAACCAGCAGTGAAGCCTCAAATCCCACGTGTTGCTTCAGTGGGCACAGCCTCTTGTGTTTGCTTCAGGCATTTCCCTCCTGCCAATTCCATAACCCATGCGGCCATCACCTTCCAGCAGGGTCCAGTCGATGTCCTGGTTTTCAGGCTTGGTAAGTGCTGGGTACTTGTTGAACAGGTTGGCCACAAAGGCCAGGTTCAGTTTCGGGTTGCCGCTGACCACGTCGGCCGGTGTGACAAACTGCCGGCAGCCCAGGCGATCCGCCTGCTGCAGCATGCACTCTGCTCTCCGCAGGTCGTCCTTCTCCTGGGGAGGGAGCGAGACAAGAGCTGTCATGGAAGAGAACGGGCTGCAGAGCAGATGGAAAGCTCCCGGGTGTCAGGCTGGGAACACTGGGACTGCTCAGCCTTGGAGACATCAGAGCAGCTTCCAGTGTCTGATGGGGGCTACCAGGATGCTGCAGTGATAGGACAAGGGGTGATGGGTTCAGACTGAAACAGGGGGAGTTCAGGTTGGGTATATCTAGAGAAACTCAGTTCTACCTGAAGAAGTTATGTACTGTGTGAGAGCAGTGAAGCCCTGGCACAGGTTGCTCAGAGAGAAATGGTAAATGCTCAGTCCCTGGCAGTGCTCAAGGCCAGGCTGGACAGAGTTGGGTGACATGAGGCATCCCTGCCCATGGCAGGGGGTTGGAACTGGACATCTTAAGGTCCTTTCCAACCCAAACCGCTCTTTGATTCTATGCTACCTGGGGCAGTGTCACAATTCCACCCGCCTTCCTTAGGCATCAGCTGCTAATCAAAGGGATGAATTGTGCACAGTGCCGTTGTCCTGGTTTGTCCTGGTGTTCTCCCTAGCATGGTGCTTTCCAACTTTCATGCTTTTTGAACTTGAAGGTTGAAAACCAGGAGTCAGCATCCTCCCCAGCACAGCAAACCACAAACAGGGCTTCAATCACTTATATTAATCAGCAGGTAGTGCCCAGGCCTGCATCAACCACTCATTTAGCACATCCCCAAGGGGTGCACATGCCCACTGACACTTGTCATGCTCTGGAAATTAAGATCCAGGTTACCCAGATGCCCTGGGGCAATGCCAGGGCACAGGGAGCTCTCAGCTGTACAGTGTGAAGACACAACAGCCCCAATACTCACATTGAAACCCGACATGTTAATATCAATCTGGGGCTCTCCCTCTTTCTGTCCTTTAGGTGCAATCTGATGCAGGAGGTGGAAATAAGCTCTAGAATCCTGAAATGGATGAAAAAGACAATTCAGGCCTCCCACACAGCAGTGAATACAAGATAACAACTGACTTCAGGCCCATCTTCAACAAGTCACTGTGCATGATTGGCTTATGTACCTTTACCGAATTACCAAAATCTGTAAGCTTAAAGCGAGCAGAAGGGCAGGAATCCAGGCAGCAGGAAAGGAAACACAAAGAGAAAAGGTTAGAGAGAGGTGACATTAAAGTTATGGGGGTACATGTTTGAAAGCTGCCTTTGCTGCAAGCTCTGGTGTCACAGCCTCCTCCCCAACAGCAGGGACCCCGTGCTGCTCACCCTCATGGTCCCCCACATGTCCCAAGGTGGCCCTAACACCCGATCAACCATCCCTAGTGCTACAGCAACAGTGGAAAGGGCTCAGTGAAGACAAAGTCCAGGCAAAAAGGTGATGATAAGGAGCCTGTTTTCTCCTGTGCTTGCCCATTAGCTAGAACAGCTTAAAGGAGAGGCCAGGGATTGTCACAAAGCAGGAGAAGCAAATAGCTGCACTAATTATTTATCAACTACAAGTCCTTGTAGTCCCCAGTGCTAAGAACCACCTGGGCACAGCCTGGCAGCCTGTGGGTTACACCAGACAACCCAGCAGCTGTGAGCACTTCTGAAGCTGGCAATAAGAGTGACCACTCGTAGGTGCACACAGGGGAGCTCTGGGCTCCACATGCACCTCAAGTACCATTGTTTTCCCCACCCCAACAGTCCTTTAACCTGGAATCCACCTCAATCCTCTCTCATTGGCACAGGGTGCCCAGAGAAGCTGTGGCTGCCCCATCCCTGGCAGTGCTCAAGGCCAGGTTGGACACAGGGGCTTGGAGCAACCTGATCCATAAAACCCTTGCTAAGCCTGCTCAGTGTGCTGAGGTTAAGGAAGGTCCTGTCCAAGGATGAAGGATGCAAACACAGCCCCAGCCAGCTCCCAACCTTTCCCTGGGCACAGGCAGGCCAGGAGAGCTCTCAGTACCTTGATATCTGCACTGAAGTTATTGATCTTGTGCCAGCCTGCGTTCTCCAGGTGGAAGTTGGCCCATCTTAGGAGCAGCTCCTCCGGGGAGAGCTTCATGAGGTCTTCCAGATTTTCACCATCACGAAGTAAGGCAGCCAGTGCTAGAAGAGAAATGCTTGTGAGGGGAAGGAAGGAGATTTCAAGAGGCAAACCTGCATGCCAGAGTAAGAGCTGCAGCCACAATTCATGGGAAGAAGGCAGGAACAACAGCAACTAGTGATGAAGTGAAAATAACATGGGTATTAATGGAGTTTTGTGGAGTTGGTTGTTACACAGAGTATGAATGATCCAGAAAACTGCATCTGAAAGATATTTTCCATTTTCTTGCATAATAAAATACCCTGGATTTTACACTCAGGCTGATGATTGTAAGAAATGCAAACGTGCTCCAGTCTCCATGAAAAAGTGCTTCCAAGCAGTTTCACAAGAATAAACCAAGGAAGCCAAAATACATCCTTCCAGCTGGCCAGTGCTTCCCATGCCATGGATTGTCTATCTAAGCCAAACAACAGTACCAGTTCACTATGGGCAAGCTTAAACAGAAGACACGGAAGCCCCTGCATCCATCTGGGCGCTCTGATAGCCCATGCAGGAGTAACACAGCTCTGCAATTGATTTGCAAAGTTCAGAGCTTGGAGGCTGTCAGTGCAGGATGGAACAGCACTAGGGAGAGCTCAGCAGCACAAGGGAGAGCTCAGCAGCACCAGGAGGGGTTTAGGAGAACCAAACCGTGGGGGGAGAGGAGAGGAGGGGAGGGAAGAGGCAGTGGTGGGGCTGGGGACGACAGCACAAGCAAAGCGGTGGTCAGGCTCCATCCTTTCATTTACCTTCATTTCTGCTGAGCTCGATGTCGGCGAACAAGCCGATCTTAATGATCTGCCAGAGGAGCCCCAGGACCAGGTGGGGTTTCCCTTCCCTCAAGTCCTCTGCACCAATATTGACAACGTGACAGCCGATGGCGGAGGCGGAATTGAGCGCCAGGTTCAGGTTCTCCTGCAAGCAGCGACAGCCGGGTGAGGCACAGCAAGGGGAGACGCGGCTTCTCCTTTCATCCAGCCCCAGCACAGTGAGAGCCCCCCTTGGCCCTTGCCCCAACAGCAGCCGCTCGGGGGAGATGCTCCTCGATGCTGAGCAGTTTTAGCAGCACTGTGGTGGCCGAATCAACATGAACTGAATGAGGCACCAGGGTTGAATTTCAGCCTCTGGTATTTAGTTTCAGCCTCCGAGTCAGTCGCATCGAGTGGTGTCAATAAGAATAAGGCTGGGCAAGTGTTAAGTTATACTCACACGCAAGCATCCTCACAAAAACCTGCTGTACTATGGGATGCTCCATGGACAGGCAACTCCAGTGACCATCTTGTTTTACTGTGTGTAATCACCGCAGCAATACAGGGTGCACACAGCATTTCAGCTGTTTTGCCCCTGATTAAATTCATTTTTGTGTCTTGAACTGTACTCATGCCCCCAAAACTGCCTTTAATAATTAAACCCGAGTTATAAAAGTCCAGAGCTTCACAATAGCGATGCCTCAGGCCACCACGCTGCCTTCCTCAGTGCTAGCAGAACCTGAATTCCAGCAAAAACACAGGAATGTGGAATACCTGAATGATGAATGGGGTGAGCTTCTTCTTGTTAATCGCTCTTTCATCAATGGTGTCCGGAACAGAAAGATTGATCATTTTGCTGGTGGGAAGAAAACCAACACCATTTGAACACTGAGCAGTGAATCTCAACAAAGCCCAGTGCACCGATACAAACCACGTTTCCCTCTGCCTCTTTGGTTTTGGGTATTATTTCTTAAACTAAAGGCTGTGTAAATCAGAAGTTAATATTTACATGATCAAGGATGTGTTTGTAATTAATAGCTAAGCCTGAAACCTTAAACACGCTCCTGGGCACTCCTGATCTCAGCTGCTGGAGCAAAAAGAGCACATGAATTATTCACAGCACAGTCACTGAACTAGCGAGGACTCACTGCTCTGTTGACACCCGCTGCAGATTCCAGTACAACACCCTGCTTCCTGCTCTGGTAAAGGTGCGCTGCTGCTGGCCAGAGCCAGCCTGCTCCCCAAAGCACAAACACCTCAAGAGCTCTGGGGGGAGCACCTGAGCACAGGGAATTGTGAGTCAGCAGCAAGCACGGGTGTTTGCCCTTGATGTGATGAACTACATCCTACTCAGTTCAGTCTTCAGGTGAAGCCCTGAATTAACTTGAAACGAAGGAAATAAAATCCCTTTAAAATAAATCAATCACAGGCTAAAGAAAAAAACAAAGCAGGAAATAAATGAGAAGCAACAGGCAGCCACTAAGCATCTTCTGCGTATTGATGGAGTTACTGAAACTCCAGGCTGATCCAATTCTCCACTATCCTAATTCACTTTGAGACAAAGGGGCACAAAATCACAAAATGGGATATAGAAACCTTTACAATCAGTTTTAAGTAATGTTAAGTTTGATGGCTTTGTAACAGTAGCAATGGAAAATTACTGAGGTGCAGGATACATAGAGAAACAAAAAACAGAGCACAGCTAGAGAATATACTGAGAATTCTCACAAGATAAATTGTTATAGTTGGCCTAGTTTTAAGAAAACCAGTCTAGAAGAACAGGACACAGGGATAAGGGGTATCTGGGAACTGCAGGTGTCCAGGATGGGCCTCATGAACATGTATGTATGCCCAGGGACTATATAAGGATGGCTTGTATAGCAACACGGGGACACACGTTAGGAGGAGTTACCCCCGTGTCTCCCGGCGCCGCAATAAGGAATACCTACTTGTCAGCTGAAAACTTTGTTGGCAAGTTTGTTCCTGGAGTTTTCTCCGAATCAACTTCCATTTGAAAACCAAACCAAAACCACAAAGCCGAAGTGTTTAGCAGCCCCAGATACCTTCTGTTTCAGTATGCGGCAAAACAAGCTACTCAGTGTAGCCCAGAAAAGCCATTTTGGGGTTACTTCATAAGGTTATGAACACAAGAGTAACCACAGAGGTTACTGTCTAAACAATAACCTATTAACACTTTTAACAGCATTATTAATGCTATTTAACCCTCCTGCCCTATTCCAAGCTCCCTGTTATCAGGCTGAGTTTGCACCAGGACAACTCCTGCTTCTGCAAAGCACCTCCCCTTTAAACGCAGTCAAGGCCCAGCAAACCCACTAGACAACAATGCCAGCTTGTGAAGCTGGCAGCAAAGCAGAAGCATCACACAGGGACAGTGAAAGCCTGGGTAGCCGAGCCCCTTTATACACACACAAAACATTAAGCACACACAACTAGTCACAAACCCAGCCTGGAACAGGAACAAAAGTCCCCCAAACTCCAGTTTCAGGAGCCATCAAGACTTACCATAGCACAATCCCATCTCCCACAGCATTGAACAGGTCATCTGTATTGGGGTTCATTGGAATCACATGCCTACAGTCAGGATCATTTTCCAGGGCTTTGTTTATCCAGTTGACAAAGGCATATTTTTCTTCCTCTAAGATAACCAATTGCAAAGTTAATACAGGCTTTTTCAGAACATAGCAAAGATTTTCCCCAAAGAACCAGTGTACAACAGCCCAGGGAAATAAAAGCCTCACTTCCACACTATCTTATTAGAAATAAGGTATTATTTCCATACAGAAATACAACATTCACTTCCAACTACCAGTATATTCTTGTTCTTTACTTGTTACTCAACAAGTTTATTATATTCAAGCGTGTCACAAAGACTTCATCGGCAAGCACAGTTAAGAGAAAGAAATACACATTTAAATTACATGTTTTTAATCTTGATTTACCCTCTAATTCTGTCCTGCTCTCACCTTGACGTGAGATTATTCAGCTACCAGAGAATAAGAGTGCAGGGCGATAGAAGTCAACTGGTTTGGCCGCATGGTGTCCAGTAAGCATGGAGAGGGGTGGAAGGCAGGCACATACCTGAGTAGGAGTGCTGGGTCCCCTCGCTGGAGAGCTCCGAGGTGCCCCCGATGGCACAGATCCCTTCCTTCCTGTTAATGGCTCTTCGGAATGTTTTGGCGATATCTCTGCTCTTCACCTCTTGGAAGATCTAGGATTGAAACAAGGAAAAGCGCCTTCAGGAAACGATCCCAGAATTGTTAGGGTTGGCAGGGACCTCTGGTGATCAGCTAGTCCAACCCCCAGTGAAAGGGCCACAGCAGAAGCTGGTTCGTCTCGGCTTTAAAGCAAACTTCATAGCAAACTCAGCAAACGTGAAGGGTTCAGCAGGGGGTTGTGGTATGAAACTGAACATGGAGAGTGGGCAGAGCGCCATCCCACTCTCTCAAACACACATTGCAAGTGCCTTTTGAAACAGAAGCATTAAGGATGAAGGACCTCACATACATTTACCTTGTCAAGTAGATTTCAGGAGACCACAGCAAAACCCAACGTGAAACCTTTGCAGTCCGAGAGCAGGTCCACATGCAGCAGCTCCACAGGACCAAAGCTGAGAAAGCCCTTGTGCAATTTTAACCTTTCTGCATAAGCCAGATGCTCGTGTAACTGTGACTTTAGTTCACACACAAGACTTTGCCCACAACCCAAGAAACCATCCTCTTGACACGTGTCAGAGTCAAACCTGTGATAGTGAGTAACAAGTGTTCCATTCACTGCCTTGAAAGCCTCAAAACTGAGCCCAATGTGTTCCAACCACGCTGAAAACACAAATGAAATGCGTACAGGTTCTCTGAACACTGCCCAGATGCAGCACGCTTAAACCATCTCCTGATGGCACACGCAGGTTTTAGTCCCCCCTGAGATGGGGCAGAGGGAAGCGAAGACTCAAGAGCCCAGAAACTTTGGGTTCTCTGCTTGGTTGGTTTTAGACATCAGGATTTTGATGGAGATTTCTTTTCAAGCTTGCTGGCCCAGTTACTCACACCAGCTCTAGAATACGTGCTTTAATGCTGAGGAAACCCTAAGTCACTCTGCCACAACCTCAAGTCAGTTCATGTCATCCTACAAGTAACCATTGCTTCCGCTCTCTAGCTTAGGTGCCCATAAGAGACTTTGTGTTTATTCGGTCATTGCTACCATCCAAATGCGACACAAGAGGTTTATTTCTTCCTTCCTAGTGCAAAGTTAGAGTTAGGAACCAGCTCAAACCAACGTGCACCCAGCATGCAAGTGTTCACAAACTGCAAACCAGCCCCAACTTACTGGTTGGCTCCGAACTGAAAAGTTCAGAGGGTCTGAAAATAATTAAGGAACAAAAGGTGAAGATAAATTAGGAAATAGCAAGAAACATAGCTGAGAACAGCTCCCTCAATGCACCGCACATACTGACCTTACTCTTTCAGCGTTCGGTCAGAGCATAAGAAGGATGAAGGGGTGGACATTAAACCTCTACCTCAGCAGTGCTGTGCTTTTGTAAAAATACAAATCATTACAAATTCTGACCTGTTTCTACAGAAAAAGGCTGTAGATTAGACCCAGCCTCCAGCTTTTCCTTTCTCATTACTCCTGTTCTTCCTTCTCAAGGCAATAAACGATCTGAAGTTTCCTGTATCAGCATCTAGGACTAATCCCCAAGTGTGTCTTGAAACCCCCTCGCGAGTCTTTAGCAAATGCTTGCAGTTCCATTAAACTGAGAAAGGAAATGATACGGATTCACTGGGAAAACAGGCATCCATCTATGTGCCTGGAAAAACTGAGTAGCTTCCAGTCAACGCTGTAAGCCTGGAGAGTTACAAGCCTTTTTTCCAGTTGTCACCTCATGTGGAAACGGTCTTTTGGCCTCCAATGAAGCTTTCATATAGGAGAAGTGTGTGGGTTCTATTTGTTTTTGGTTTAAAATCCAACATATTTCCCCCCTGTCCAAATCTAAGTGCTGGCAGTGACAGCACAGCACAAAAGTCTGCTCATAGGCAGAGATCTGTGCAAAGACCAGATTTTTACATGGCAAGTCCTCAAAAGTCATCAGTTTGTAGAAAGAAACTCGGATTAGGGTAAGAAGCCAGGTTCAACCTCTTCTACTCCCTTCCTGAGCTTTGTCTAACAGGGAGCTCAGAAACACCACTTACATAGACAAACTCCTCAAAACTGATCTTCCCATCCTTATTCTTGTCGCTGTCGATCATGAGCTTCTGGATGATCTCCCTCACTTTGTACCCGGGCAGAGGCAGGTTGGCTTCCTTGAAGAGCTCGTGCAACTCGTAGTCACAGATGAACCCGTTGCTGTTGAGGTCTGAGGAAGAGAAGGGGCAAGAGGAGGTTTTAAAACGCACCAGTACCCAAACACGACCAGCCCCAGGCAGCAGAAACACAGCCCCCATGTTCAGAAGCGCTTTACTGTGCGCTGGGGATGTCTACAGGACATGGAGGCAAGGAGGAACCTCCCAGTGCAGCCCTTCACAACACAGCCGGTTTGGGGCCACATCGTGCAGAGTGTTCATCTCTGCTGAAAGCAAGATCTGTGCAGGACATGGACACATGAAAACACCAAGCCCAAGTAGTAACTGCTCAATGGGCAGCATCAAGAATACACCAGGAACCAAAGGCAGGTGGTAAATACACATGGTGATGCTCAGAGAGGGTCTCGGTGCAGGCCCTAAGACTGCTTTGGCTTTGGGCAGTGGCAGCCTGGAAGCAGAGCTGACCACGTATGACCAAGTGCGCCAGAGATGTTTCACAACAGAGCATCTGCGTTTTCCAGGATCTGCAGTGCTTTTCTTCCTGAGTCTAACTGCAGCTGGCTGTGTGTTAGCAACTGACAGTAATGAAACACAGCACTTGCTCTGTTCTGAGCTGAAAACACCAAGTCAGCTCCGCATTTACACTTCTCTGTCACGCTGCTAATGATGTTATCCACTTACTGCTGACAGAAAGCTGCAGCCACATACTGTAATCCTGCCCAAGACTGCTCTGCAAGGACACTTGCTTTGACAAGCACCCACTGAGCCAGGGCAGCACCATGTGCCAAAGGAGATGTTATTGCCTATGAGACTTGGGAAGAATGAAAACAAGAATGTAGAGCTTTTCACATCCACAGATCCCAACCCCCTTGGGGATGTCATCACATCACATCACATCAGCCGGGAGAAAAGAGGGCTCCAGGGAAGCTTTATTGTGACCTTTCAGTGCTTAAAAGGGACCTGTAAGAAAGATGGGGAGAGAGCTTTCAGCAGGGCCTGTTGTGATGGACAAGAGGTGATGGGTTTAAATAAAAGAGGGAGATTCAGGGTGCATGTGAGGAAGAAACTCTGTAGAGTGAGGGTGGTAAAAAAGGCCTCGCCTGGCCTCACCACCCACCTCTTCCCATAGCCCACAAAGGATTTCCCAGCTATTCACAAGGCAGCAGTCTCTCCCTCAGGCCCTACAGTTAAATTCCACTCAAGCAACAGCTTCTGCTGCCCCAAAGCGCTTGTGTCCTCCGCAGCTTGCATGATGGAAGAGCCTGTGTTGGGTTTTGCTCAAGAGGGAATCCCACAGCACTGCCACTGGGGTCAGTATTTATGCTTTAATGGGAAACACTGTCAGGAATAAAGGAAAACCATCATGACAGCTCTACAGTCCTTATGGTTTTTTTTCTTTTTAGCATAATCTGGAAGTCCATTTCCTTGGAATGAGGTGTCAATGGCGGGGTTTAGGTTTCACTTCACAGCACTGTTCCAGCAAGCAGCATGTCCACACCGCCACTGCAAACATCCTCATTTTCCACAGCCATATGGGATTGTAAAACCGCTTTTGCAAGCTAGGGAGAAAGTGAAATTCAAATGCTTAGTGGCAGCTGTCCAAAGGCAGACAGAGCAAACCTGTGCTCCCTCCTGCACCCCAGGTCTCAGGGTAAAGAGCAGCATCAGTTCCAGTGGATTATTAAATACCTTCAAATCCTTCAGCGAATGTCAGTGTTTACAATAATGCTGATGCAATAAAGTGCTTTGGGCCAGTGATCAATGATGGCAACGTGCTGCTGTCTGGCCTTCCATTTGAGAATTTTATTCCAAAAGCATATAAGCTTACAAAGGCAAGCTTTATGAAAGAGGCCAGCCTGAGATGTCATCAGCAAACTATTTCCCCTCTAGATAAATCACAGCTTCTTCTGTTACACTTATTACTAAACCTAACTCCACAATAGGCATCTTTCCCTGCCTCACAGCCAGGGAAGGAAATCAGACAAGAATGGATTTGCTCATGTCCAGGGCCTATGGACCCCAGACAAACCTTTGCTTTCACCCTCAGCATGCCTTCAGCCAGCTCGCTTGACTGAACAGACCATGCTCCTTTGCCACACTGCCAAATCAAGCAGGTAAACCCAGAAACACTTGTGCATTGCTTCTTCCAATGGATCCACCACCTAAACCACCAAGTTTTACATCTACCCCAATGTTAGCAGGCAAAAGACAGAGAAAAATCAGACTTGAAAAAGACATTGCACCCTTGGTGAGGTCATGGGTGCGATTTTGATTCAGACTTGGTAAAGCTGCTCTTCTTGACATGTCTAACTTAAGCATTCAGAAGTGTTTGAACCAGCCTTCCATGTGCCATGTCTGGGCCTATTCAGAAGTGAAAGGGGAAACCACAAAGTATGGTATTTCCTGAGTCAAATGCCTGCTGGTCAGCTAGCAGGGACCTGAGCTCCAAAGTCCCCATCTCTGCTGCACTGGAGGGATGCAGCTCCAGTTCTGGGGCTAGAAGACCAGTGTGATTGACTGTGTGGTGGAATACAGACCCATTTCAATATGCCCGAAAGCCTTTAGACCTGTAAACAAGACAAACAGGGCTGAGACTGCTATCCCACAGGGCAGCTGCTTCCCTTCCTGCTGCCTCTGCTCCCCGCCTGGCATCAGAGCCAATGTTCAGAGGAGCAGGATTAAATAAACAAGGAGTCACCTTTGCAGCACCAGCAAGCCCCAGAGCTGTTTCCAGCATTCCTGCAGGCCCACCATATGGTGCCTTGCTGGATGTCCGCAACGGGGCCAGCCTTCAGGCGGAAGGTGGTCTAAAACCCCTCTGTAATGGAAGTTGGAATGGGATTCAGCAGCCGAAGAGCCTGTCAAAACAGAAGCTCTCCCAAATGAAACCCCTGGGCGCACAGCCTGGTTACCCATGGAAGAAGGCGAGATGGGTTTAACAGACAAGCCACAGCCCGGCTCCGTTGTGAGGTGCCCGATGCAAAGGGAACTGCAGCACATCCGAAGTTCCCTCTTTCCACGGGCAGAGGCAGGGCCGGCAGCGGAGCAGCCTGGGAGCGGTCCCACCAGCACCGTGCTCGGAGCCACCTCCTGCCCGGGTGCAGGTGGCGCAGCGAAGCCGCCATAAAACCCAAAGGCGGCTCCAAGCTCTGGCTCAGCTTCCTCCGAGCACTTAAAATAGCTTAAATAACAGGATGCAAGAGGGGAAAGTAACCCACACATGTCCTTTTAAGGCTATATGCTCAGCAGGACACACTCCAGCAGGATCCCAGAGCCCTGTTTGCTGCAGCCGGCAGCTCGGAGCATTGTTTGGCCACCTTGCAGCACTGAACACAGTGTTCAGCCGGGGTAGGGGTTTTAAGTACTCCATGTTTCCAGGAAAGATGCTTATCTCTGCTATCACAGGCAGGCAGGAGGAAGACAAATAAACAGAGCAAGTCTGCAGAGAGGGTTGTACCATGCCTCCCTTGTGAGTGCCACTGCTTGGCCAAGGGCACAGATACACATACCTGCTCTAGGCAGCAAATCCAGAGACCAGCTGGGATTTGGAGCAGTCTGCTCTTCTCCCCCTAACCTGCAGCCATCCAAAGCCCAGGCAGTTCTTACACCCCACTTAATTACTCATGTCAGGTGCTAAAATGCTTTTTTCTCCACTGCTGTTTACCGTTTGGATCATTCCCAACACAAAGATATGCTTGGAGGATACTGGGAGCTGCTTCCAAAGATGCAGCTGACTTTAGTGCTAACTTTAAAGCATGGATTCTCACCTGTGGACTTCTAAATAAGCAAGAAGGAGTTCTGGGGACTCTTGCCTTTTGCTGGCTGTCAGCAGACAGCAAACGAGCTTCATGGGAGATAGGGGATACCAGCCAGTGGCATGGAAGGCAAATGGTGACAGAGAGCACAGTAACACCTCACTGTCTTGGTCTGGTCCAGCTGCATACCGAAAACCTTGTCACACACCCTTCAAGTTCATCAACCTACACATCCAGGGCAGCAGCTTGTCCCAGGCTAGAATGACAGCAGGTCTCCAGGAAGCCCATGCAGCCACACAGTGGAGCAGGCACATCTTGGTGGGCAGGAGCCACCGTGCAAGATGCTTCCTCCTTCCCACACCTACTTTGTGACATCCTAAGGGCCAACCACCTGAGCTTTGCTATGACCATGCTCGGAGCTGTGGTGCAGGCTTCCAGGTAGCTGGGAGACAGAACCCCAGCCTGGTTTGGGTTGAAGGGACCTTAAAGCTCCTCCAGCTCCAACCCCTGCCACGGGCAGGGACCCCTTCCACTGGAGCAGCTTGCTCCAAGCCCCTGTGTCCAACCTGGGGCTCCTCCAGGCTGCCCCAGCCCAGCTCTCTCAGTCTGAACCCAGGGCAGAGCTGCTCCCTGCTCCAGCCCTCGCAGCATCTCCATGGCCTCTTCCTCCTCGGATGAAAAAGGTTTCATTTTAAACAGCAGTCTTCGAACAACTTCTCTTCACATTCACTAGAGGCACATTAGAAGTTCCCAGCAAAAGCCAGCAACCAATTAGCGACCAGTTCTATATCCCAGGGCAAAGAGAGCTCCTTTAGGCAAGAACAAAAGGAATGAGAGCATTAAAGACACCCTGACAGGAGTGTCCCACAGCAGTGCTTGAGGGCTGGAGCATGCCTGAAGCTCACAGCACAGGAGGCAGGTGAAAAGGCCTGGCAGATCCCATCTCACCTCTGGGTATGTCCGGGCTCATCACCGCATTTCTCAGTGGCACTCAGGCTGCGACACTGCTATGACAATTTAAAACCAAAGAGGGCCCAGCTCCCGAGCAGGGTGAGCTGGTTTCCTGACGTGGGTTTCCCCATGTTTCCAGTGCACAGGCAGCCACACAGCCTAACCCTGAACGTGACAAAAAGCCACCTCATTCCAGCCAGGTTAACCATTGTAAGTTGGTCCAAGGACTGATGGGCTGCCTGCATCCCAGCCTTATTGAGGGCTGCACTCTGAGGCACATTACACAACAAGAAGCACCATGGGCACCTATTTCCTTCTGCAGCAGCTCACTTCCACTGGCTGGAAAAGTCTTGGGCAGAGCAAGACAGGAGAGGGAACTGCCCAAAATGCAACTTGCATCATGTGCCAATAGGAAATACTGCTCTGAATCAGTTGCCTTTGAAATTCATATTTCTCTCTGCAGACTGCAAATTGAGAGCAAAAGAGGGTTTAAGAGCACCCTGTTCTAGAGAACAGTTTACCCAGTACAGATGCCAGGCAACAACCAATTTGCTTGACCAAAAGGATGTTCAAAAGAAGGATGAAAAGCACTGCAACAGCTGGAGTGTGAGCAGCAGGTTATGGAGGGGATTCTCCCCCTCTGCTGCATGAATGGGAGATCTTAGGGCAGCTCCAGTGCCTAAAGGGGCTGCAGGAAACCTGGAGAGGGGCTTGGGACAAGGGATGTAGGAACAGGGCAAGGGGAATGGCTTGAACCTGCCCGAGGGGAGACTGAGCTGAGCTCTTAGGCAGAAGCTCTTCCCTGTGAGGGTGCTGAGGCGCTGGCACAGGGTGCCCAGAGAAGCTGTGGCTGCCCCATCCCTGGCAGTGCTCAAGGCCAGGTTGGACACAGGGGCTTGGAGCAAGCTGCTCCAGTGGAAGGGGTCCCTGCCCGTGGCAGGGGTTGGGGCTGGAGGAGCTCTGAGGTCCCTTCCAACCCAAACCAGGCTTGGATGCTATGATAAGAACTGGAGCCACCAGAGGGCAATGCTCGTGCACCGCAGCCGCAGAGCATTTTCTCACCCCCGCAAGCTGCTCCATAATGGCAGGTAAACAGACACTAATTAGGTTTTGCCTCCAAGCTCGTCAAACAGTGCCTCAATGCACCTGCCCCAGCCAGAAACACAGCCCCTACATTTACATGTGCATGGATTGGCCGACCTGCCAAAACCAGCATCCTCAGAGCCGAGCCCTGTGCCAGCCCTGGCTGCTGCCGGGGCTGCAGCACTGCAATACCAGCTTGGATGGACCTCCTGCCATCAGGAACCAACAAAGCTGAATCAGGAGCAAGAGGGCAAGGCTCTGTGCCAGTGCTCATTGACAGCCCGGCTGCCACATCCCTTTGTGCTCCTTGGCTAGAAGTGACAAGCCAGAAGCAACAAGGCTGCCAGGAGACTCCTTGGCATGCAGAAGACCACAAGAGCAACAGACTGCCCATATATCCATGTACCATGCACAGGGGTGGGATAAACCCATTTCACAGCAGACAGGAGCAAGGTGCCCTCCGCATTGTGACTTACCAACTTTGGCAAAGGCCTCCTTGAGGTCCTCCAGGTCATCTTTGGAGATCTGCATGGTGTTGGCCATCTCATGAACTTAGGGAGTACCTACAGAGAGAAAATGGGACACTGTGAAACCAGGCCGCCCTCCAACACCTGCAGTGTTGGACAGCAGCACAGCAACAGGCAGTACCAAGGTTGCTACAGTTCTCGAGGCCACATTTATCTTTCCACTCAGAAAACAGATGTGTGGAGCTCCGGAGATGGGAAATGCACTGCTTAGCAAGTCAGAAAGCCCATTAGCCTTGTTAATATTTAGCTGTGTGTATTTTATGGGCACACGTGAAGGTACCTGCCAGCAGTGTGTTCTGCAGGCTGGAGAAGCTCACACCTCCAGGGATCTCCTGAACACAACCAGAATCCACCATTAAAAGTGTTCATGCAAGAGAGTGAATGCTCTGCCTGCCTGTCCCCGAGAGCACACAGCTACCACAGCCAAACAGCAAAGCTCCGAAACGGGGTCTTTCTGCACAGGGCTTTACCTGGTGCTGTTTGCAAGAAGGAATCAGTCTGGTTTCCCACCAGAAAAAGGCTTGAACAAACCTTTTTGTTTGGGGCCTATTGCCCCAGAGCCAGGCTCCCAATGGACCGTGTAAGCACCAGGCTGCCCGCATGGCACCGACCCCTGCGCTCCCCGAGCGAGGCACGGCAGGGAGACCCCAGTGCAAAGCAGCAGGCACCAGCCCCGCTCACACCCCGGGTGTGCAGATCTCGATCAGATCTCGGCAGTGAAGAAACAGCGAGGATGAAGCACACGGTGCCTACACCCATCTGTGTAATCCTCCTTCCCAAGCACTGGAGAGGTGCCACCCAGCCAGCATGGACAGGAGTGATCGCCATGAGGATGAGAAAAGGATGGGGCTGTTCAGCCTGGAGAAAAGAAGCTGTGGGAAGGCCTCAGAGCAGCTTCCAGTGTCTGAAGGGGGCTACAAGGATGCTGGAGAGGGGCCTTCATCAGGGACTGGTGTGATAGGACAAGGAGTGATGGGGTCAAACTGAAACAGGGGAATTTCAGGTTAGATGTAAGGCAGAAGCTCTTCCCTGTGAGGGTGCTGAGGCGCTGGCACAGGGTGCCCAGAGAAGCTGTGGCTGCCCCATCCCTGGCAGTGTTCAAGGCCAGGTTGGACACAGGGGCTTGGAGCAAGCTGCTCCAGTGGAAGGGGTCCCTGCCTGTGGCAGGGGTTGGAGCTGGAGGAGCTTTATGGTCCCTTCCAGCACAAACCAGCCTGGGATTCTATGCAAAGGCCGGTTACCTGCCCACATCCCCATCCCATGCCATTCATGACAGCAGCATCAGATGTCCCATTGGCACTCTGGCCAATACAACCAGAAGAGGTCAGTGATGGATGGCTCAATGCAAATAGGGCAATCTGTGCACAGAGGCAGGCTAGATCAGCACGTTCCAGCACCCATGCTAGCTGCAGCTCAGGGGCTTTAGAGCTGGGGATCCAGGCAGGCTCAGTACAACTTCAAATGAGACTTGCATCCCCAGATTTTCCAGCTCCACCTTTGTTAGCTACAACTGCTCTGAGTTGAGAAACCAAAGGTTCCTCCTCTGCCGATGGAACAGACCCAGCTGCCGCCTCCTTTGTAAGGAAGAGGATGAGGGTGAGCTCAGGTTTACAGCCTGGCAGCAGGCAGGAGCCCCATCGGGCTGCTCGAGCAACAAGAAGCTGTTTGACAAACGCCTGGGCTCTGATGGGCAACCCCTTTTGTCTGAGCCCCCCAGCTGCCTTCACAAGCACTGGCTGGCTTCAGAGCACAGGTCTGCCTGGGGCTGGCTGTGGCAGCCCGTCTGGAAAGCGGGTGCCAGGGGAGCAATGGGCAGGGTGGCAGCCTGGGAAAGCGGCTCAGGCGGGTGCTTGCAGCAGGGAAAGTCAACAAGAAGTTGCATCACTGCAGGGACACGAAGGGAAGAACATCGGACCCCACCTCCAACAGCAGCAGAGCTGCCAGCGGGCAGGATAACATCAGTACAAGACACCAACAGCAGGACAGCCAAATCCATCCCTTGGCCTGTGCTGCAGGAATGGGGCAGGGGAGGAACCACGGCAAAGCTGCACCAGGCTGACAGGAAAGGGGAAAGGAAGGCACCACAAGTTTGCTTCTCCCCTTTCACATGACCTGGTTCCAGTGAGCCCAGAACCACCCCCGTGTGGGGGACTGAACCCCCAGTGCGTGAGCAGCAGCTCAGGGAGGGGATCCTGCCCCTCTGCTGTGTGAAGGGGAGACCCCCCCTGCAGCCCTGATCCAGCTCTGGGGCAGCAGCACAAGAGGGACCTGGAGCTGTTGGAGCGAGTCCAGAGGAGGCCATGGAGATGCTGTGAGGGCTGGAGCAGCTCTGCTCTGGAGCCAGGCTGAGAGAGCTGGGCTGGGGCAGCCTGGAGAAGAGAAGGCTCCTGAAGGGGAGACCTGAGAGCAGCTTCCAGCTGCCCATGGTGCTGCATACCCAGGCCACCCCATCTTCCACACCAAAACAAGCAGCAAACACCCCCATAAGCTGAGAGCTGTTAAAAAACCTGCTCTGTTTGGCTTTATCATGGAAATGCCACACTCTGGATACGTCCTGCAGTTGTTTTGGGAGGGTCTTCACTTAAAAACACCTCCCTCCAGCCCCAGTGCTGTTCAGCTCAGTCAGGATGGTTGTAAAGCAGGTTCACCTTTCACTTTTCACCTGTTTCTTCCTTTGGTTTCTCTGCTTGAGAGCAGAGAGGGGGAGTTTGAACCAACAGAGAAAAAGCAGAGTCCTGACCTCATGAGAGCTGCCTGGGAAGGGGAAGGGTGTAAAGGTGGAACAAGGCAGTATAGGAGGAGCTTAGTGGTACGAGCTGACTGGGACTCTTGAGCTCTCAAAGCAGGTTCACAGAGCTCTTCTGCAATGGAGACACATCACCCCCAGCACTGGGCTGCAGGGCAGGAGAGCCTCGGGTTTTGGTGTGTGGGGGTTTTGTGGGTTTGTTTGCTTTTAACAGGCCGTGTTTTTCCATTCACAGTTGCACCGATAAACAAGAGCCTTTGTCTTTGTGAATATAGAAAGCCCTTTTATCACACTGGCAGAGGGATCACACATCAGCTGCCTCTGTGGGGACACAGCACCACGCCACTCACGCTGCACCACGGCACATTCACTTCCACATGAGCAAAGCCCCTGCCAGGGCATGCAATGACAGCCAGAGACAAACGGTAGCTGTGGACCTCAGAGGATGGGGAATGCGCTGCTTACCAAGTCAGAAATCCCATTAGCCTCCTTCATATTTAGCTCGGTGTTTTTATTTTATGGGCTATGTTGCTCTGCACACATGGAATCACAGCCTGGTTGGGGCTGGATGTCCCTGATGAAGAGACTGCAGTGTTAGGACAAGGGGTAATGCCTTCCAACTTAAATAGGAATGTACCTGCCACCAGTGAAGACCCATTTAGAGGGAGGAAGAGAGAGCAAGGGGAAAGAGGAGACAGAAGTGAGCTGGTCATCCCACACCCATTTTACACCCTGGTGACAGAAAGGCTATCAGTCAAAGCACACATAAGCAGAGTGTATAAGGAAGCGGTTCCTGCTCCAGATCCCTTTGCTCCTGCCTTCATCCCTCACTCCACAGCAGAAAACCAGAGGCAGCTCCATAACACATGGATGGACTAAAGATGCTCCAGAGAAGTGTGGCTGGCAGACGGTGCAGCCTGTTTGTGCCACAGAACCCCAGACTGGTTTGGTTGGAAGGGACCATAAAGATCAGCCCATTCCCTGCAGACTTCACTTCAAGCTGCAGATCAGAGCTGCTTCAAGTGCATCTGAGGTTTTCCAGTATCAACTCCCTTCCCCGAGAGAGGCTGTATAAAGTTTCTGTGCAAACAAGTTTTATAGCTCCTGAACACAGAGCAGCCATCAAAGCGGGGTTAGTTTATTTGCTCTCAGGCAGAGCTGCAGTACTGACAAGTCAGATGAAGCTGCCCCAGCACCTGTGTTTTCACAGCTGGAACCCACCTTCAGTGGGACCATCACCAGAAGGACACACTTGGGTGCTCAGACAGCACCTTAACACCACTCAAACCCAGAGAAGAGATCCCCAAGGCTCTTTCCCAAGTGGACAAGTCCTGGGAGCTGCGTCCTGCACAGAGGATCAGTGAAGCATCACAGAACTCCAGCCTGGTTTGGGTTGAAGGGACCTTAAAGCTCCTCCAGCTCCAACCCCTGCCACGGGCAGGGACCCCTTCCACTGGAGCAGCTTGCTCCAAGCCCCTGTGTCCAACCTGGCCTTGAGCACTGCCAGGGATGGGGCAGCCACAGCTTCTCTGGGCACCCTGTGCCAGCGCCTCAGCACCCTCACAGGGAAGAGCTTCTGCCTAATGTCTATGATACTCGCTCCATTATAAAGTGTATCTAAATAATTCTTACATCAAGATTTAAACACTGCTGCTGATATTTGTCATTTTTTAAGGGACGTGGATGGAATTTGGAGACATTTCTTTCTATTTTGGAAATAAACGCAACCGTCTTGAATTCTCAGACTAAATCAGGCTCACATTGAATATTATGAATATCTTCGAGTACCCACAAACTCCCTGTGCTTCATCAGCAAAACAAACCCTTGCTCTAAAAATAAATTCTCCTTTCATGTTGTAGTAATTCATGGACTTTCCACTTCAATTCAAACTTACAGCAGCTCAGCCTGCTTTTAAATTGCCTTCTAAAGCGGGTGGGGGGGTGTGTGCATTGAGGCACTTGCACATCTCCTTGAAAGCTGGAGGTTTAGTCCCATTTTGAAAGCACATGGCAACCAAATATTTCCCAACAGCCACTTGAACACTTCCAAGAGAAACAGAGCTGGAATTTGCTGCTGATCCAAATGGAAGGATTTGCTTTCTTAGCAGCTCCGTGTTCATTTGAAAACCCTCCCAGACCCGCCCTGCTTTAATATCTCTACAAGTGACTGATTAACAGCCCGGAGGTGTTTATGCAAACGCAGACGCACATGGAAGCGCCAGGGAAAAGGCATTCAGTGCCCCTTTTCCAGCCGAGCACAGAGCCCCGAGCGAGCTGGGTCCGGGCGGCA